GCTGTCAATCAGACAGCCTGTCCTGTTACTTTCTGGTTTGTTTAACTCAGTGGAACTAATTTGGACAAAATAGGCACTTTTCCTTGTCACAAGGATAGGTGCAACCTGGAATTATTGAAAGTATCCTAAGCTGTGTGGAACGTAGCAAAGACTTGTATATAAGGATCTCGATCAGAATAAAACAAATACCACAATAATTACTGTGAGACTAGCCTTATAGGGCTACTCCTAAACTCAACCACCAATTATCAGAGAATCAGCTCTATGCTTTAAATTGCAAAAAGGACTTTATTGACTAAGACTATTTTTAGCAATATTGTCGACAAAATCAATGCTGTTGACATACTCCCAGATATATTGCTGAAAAAGTCTAGTATTCACTCAGTGAGAGGGCTAAACATCTCTCTATATATTAGGGGTTACAATCTTCCTGATTGAGATTAAAAGTATCAATGTGCCCTTGTGAGGGGGTTATACAGACAGTTACATCATACTTAATGTGTTCAAAGATTCATTACGAAGTGATCAGAGGAACATGATGGGTATATAAAGAAAAGTCCTCTCACGCTGTTAATCTAGCTAGATGGGTTAAGTAAGAAAGAGATGAGAATTATTTAAATAATCATGTTTAAACTTGCAAAAAACAAATTAAACTAAGGTGACCATACCAAAATAATCAAGAGCCAGAAAAACCAGACGCGTGTTTCGGTGCAGCCTCGTGTGCACCTTCGCCAGGGGCCCCTGATAAATTTTGGAACACATTAATTGCAAAAAAGATAGTCTTAAAGGACCACTATAGTGCCAGAAAAAACTAATTCTCCTGGCACTATAGTGCCCTGAGGGTGCCCCCACCCGCCGAGCTGAAGGGGGTTTAAACACTTTCCTTTCTCCAGCACAGGGGACTCTCCTCCCTCCTGTCATCGGATGAATGCACATGCGCGGCAAGAGCCGCGCGCATTCAGCCAGTCCATAGGAAAGCATTCTCGATGCTTTCCTATGGACGCTGGCATCTTCACACTGTGATTTTCACAGTGAGAAGCACCTCTAGCGGCTGTCAATGAGACAGCCACTAGAGGCTGGATAAACCCTAATTTAAACATAGTTTCTCTGAAACTGCTAGGTTTACAGCAGAATGGGTTAATCCCAGAGCACTTTATTAAGCTGAAGTGGTCTGGGTGCCTATAGTGGTCCTTTAAATCAAAGTCTTTTTTGCAATTTTAAGCATAGAGCTAACATACTTCCTAAATGGTTCAATTGGTGGTTGAGTTTAGGAGTAGCCTTATAAGGCTAGCCTCACAGTAATTATTGTGGTATTTGATTTATTCTGATGGAGATCCTCTCCAGTCCAATTTAGGTGTCTCTGCTACATTCCACACAGCTTGGGATACTTTCAATAATTCCAGGTTGCACCTATTCTTGTGACAAGTGCCTATTTTCCCTAATTTTATAATTCAGGTGAGGCCCAGAGACACCCTTGTGGCATCTAACTGGGGTACATGTGCCAGGTAATTTGTGGATCCCGGTCCCTGCATTAGTGTGTG